TCAGTGCCACACTGATCTCAACACGCTAATGCCACATTAGCCAATACAGTCTGTTTCAACTGTTTTCTCATCAGTGCCACACTGATCTCAACGGTCTTTTTCACCCGTATTACATTCTACTAGTGCCACACTAGTCTCCACCAGTGCCACATTGGTCATCACGGTCTTCACCCGCTACATCAACTGAATTCAAATCATCTTCGTCGATATCCAGCTCGCTGGGTACCTGTCCATCCGGCATTTTTCGTAAACTCTCGTGAGGATATTTATACTGCCTCTTACTTGTGATAGACTTTAGTTTATACCGAGCACCGTCTAAGACTTCCGTTACGACGAAAGGTCCACGAAATTTCGGATCTAACTTGGTTTGCTGTCGTTCACTATTTTTTATTAAGACGTAATCTAAACCTGACAACTTTTGCTTTACCCTTGCAAATCTTTTTTTTTCATATTGTGCTGCGCATTGCATTTTCTTATCAGCTTCCGATCTTTGTTTATCTATCTCCTCTTCCTCACAAATGGGAACTCGACCTAATGGTCGTGAGCACTTGCCAATTAATAACTCCAATGGACTGGATTTTGTAACTCGATTGACAGTACAATTTAACGCTAACTGCACTTCACCTAAAGCATCCTGCCAAGACCGTTCACTAGATTCTACCACAGTCAACAAATTTTTCAAAGTACTAATGACTTTTTCGACCTAACCATTGGAACGACTAGCACCAGTTGCTATTAGGTGACACTGAATTTTCACTAGAGTTACAGAAGTCCATAAATTTACTACCCGTAAAGCTTCGTCCCTGATCAGCTATCAACCGAGTGGGCACACCGAACAAAGCAATCGAGGATTTTAACGCGTCTATACAACTACTTGAATCAAGTCTAAACGTATGATACAGATGAACATATTTTGTGTACCCATCAATCTGCACTACGATGTATTCCTTACGGTCATTTTTGTCACTAAATTTGCCGGTGATATCTATGTGCAACGTGCGCCATGGTATACTAATCTTTGATATCGAATGTAATTCGGCTTGAATTTTTCCCGATGCCGACTTTGTCACTCTGCAAGTTATACAATTTTAAATAAATTATCGAACATACTTCGACATTCCCTCGAACCAGTAATGGTCGTACACCTTATCAAGAGTTTTTTTTTTAATAATTGTATTGATAAATTTTTTTCTGTGCCATACAACTCTGTTTCTAAAGTATTAAAGTTATATTCGGTGTCAGGTACGACACAGGCGTTAACTGTTTTATCTTTCACTAACTCTACCCCATTACTTGACACTACTGCCGAATATCCCTGGGCCAAGATTTCACGCCCAATTACCATTTCGATTTTCATACAAGCGTCATCGACTACGTGAAACATTATTTCGATACACTTTCCATTAATCATTACGTTACTTAAAATTTGTATTGTACTCACTAGGTAAGCATTAACGTAATTAAATCTCTTTCCACTCAGCTTAGGCGCTAGACTCTCTTTAACCTAGGAGCACTCAGCTCCGGAATCAAAAGTATACACGAATTTCTCACCTAGATGGAGCATGGATGCTTTTGGTTCTTTCACTATACAAATCTCTATTCGCTTAGGGATGCGTGTTCCCCGATCCAGATCCTTCTCCAGCAGCTCTCTTAGGACACTTGGTTGCGATATGCCCTATTTCGTGACAACGGTAACAAGTGATGTGTGTCTTAGTGCGCTGGGCCATTCCTTGATCCGCTCCACGTTTTTCTTCAGATGATGGCTGCTTCTTCATTCGGCATTCCGCTTTTTTGTGTCCAAGTTGACCACAGGAGTGACAAGTAATTTCAAATGACTTAAAGCGTTTAGCACTTGGTTCCTCGTGCGAGTAGTTGCATCGTTTTGAGTCCAACGCATACACTTGTAACTCAGATTGCAACTCGCGTCTGTTGTGAATCCTAGCTGTGTACGCAACTCGATGCAATCGATGGTCATGACTTGCCAAATGTCTAAGTACTACCGATGCCGCAATCTCTTCTTTGTCAATATCACGCCATTTTGTGACGAGTGACGTAGTTTTACGGCTCGCATAAACGGCGACACTCTCACTGTCATTTGGTCGACTATTCAGCAAGTTTAAAATTGTTGCTGCTGGCGTCTCGGTATTTTCAAATCGTTGCTCAAACAATTGTCTAAATTGAGGCCACGTGATTCCGGCATAACACACCTGCGACAACCACTGTGATGCACTTCCTTCTAGAGACTTCGTTAAGGCCAAAATTAATGCACTACCTTGCAGCGAGGTCTCGCTCAAAATAATGTCTACGGTCGCGCACCACTGCACTGCATCGGCTCCGGCTATATCTGCATTAAATTTTGGTAACACAATGTCGACCTTTTGTAGGGGCTCGCCAGACGTAGCTCGCAGCGCTCCAGCAAGTTGTAGAAAATTTTGGTTCTGCTGCTCTAGCAAAACGCGAAATTGTTCTTCTAAAGTTATAGATCGGGAGTTAGATCCCACTTCTGATGACGGAGGGGTCTAGTTTCCTTGAAGATTTATACCGTTGTATGACATTTTGCGAGCGAAGCGAGTCTCAGTGCGTGCGTTCTCTTCAAAAATTACAATCCAAAAGACTTTTTAACTACGATTTGACACCATCGTTATCCCTTTTTCTCAACACAACACTGAGCCACACTGACGACTGCATATACAGTCGTCTTACTCTTCTACTATCGAGCAATTTACAAGGATTCACCTTGCAACACTAAGCCATTCGCTTAAACAGTTGAGCGAGCAATTTAATAATTAACTACGCTCCGACATACATATATATTTCTTTTTTCTTTTAATCGCACTTTTTATTTCCACATATTTCACTTGATGTCGTTCCAAAATTTTACAGATTAGGTCACGGTCGCCATGTTATAAGTTTTCGAAGCCGCCAAGTAATAAGTTGGTTAATTCAGTTTATTGAGTTGACTTAGTGTATTTGAATATTAGAACCGAAGTTGGAGCGCGACAGGTCTTAGTGTATGAACATCCGATATAGCTCTCCTCTTGGGCATTTGTCCAAAGTATCGACATGCCCTCGGCTGCGCTGTCGGAGACGCCGGCAGCGGAGCAGCCGGCGCTTATGTATTATTATATACACTGCGTATTTGGCAAGCGCGCAGTATAGAGAGTGAGAGAGAGTATTATGCTTACATATTATCAGCTCGGTCGCGCATGCTAGGCATGCCGACTCGGCACTTGGGTTGCGCATGTCAAACATGCAGACTAAGCACATTGGGCTCCCCGTGGCATTCTTGTGTGAGTTCGATAAGTTCCCACTTGAGTTGTTGGGAACGTTTTGATTATGCTACTCTGCACATTTGGCTTATGTATTAACTTGGAATGTTAAGTGCGCAACATTGTAATTGAATATAGCTGGTACAGAGGGTACCCAATATGTGAGCTTTAGACATCTGCATAAGTGGCAAAAAACCCACATTCAAATGCACAATGCTTAAAATGAGTTGAGTGAATTTGAGAGCGAAGCCAACATGGAGTGAAAGGGTTGGCTCTCTTTCACCTACTCATTTGCACAAAGAGCAGGTAGAAGGAAACGAATTGAGTGAATTGAGAACGTTGAAAACAGAGACGTTTCATTCGAATGATTCGAGTTGCAAATGTAAATAAAGGAAATAAACACAAATTAAATGCAGTGAATTTTCTTCGAGTCCGAATAGGCTTTATATTTATGGTTTTTTATTTTATTTATTTCTAAATTAACAATAACTTACAACTAATTTAAATTGGAATGCAAAAACATTATTTTGTTAATATTTTCCGAATTAGTGGCTATTTGACAAGGATATGCTGTAATTATTCTGTAAAAATTTCTTGCGTTTGAAAATGTACGTTCCCCGATGCCGCGCTGCTCGCTGGAATGCAAAATTTTTTGACTTTGTGCTGCAGTTCTCAAAAAAGGAATGTACAGAAATCCTAAGCAAGAACTCGAATGATTCGAGTATTCAAGGTATAGCCAAATCTCTCATTTCACTTTTGGTTTCGTTCATTCACTCTCATTACGTTTGACGTCTCAAATTAAGAGAGGAAAACAGGCTTGCACTCATACAATGTCATTTCATTTGCATCATTCCACTCACTCCATTCTATTCGATTCGAATGTATTCATTTAGACGTATGTTATGAATGTAATCATGCAGACGTCTAGTGAGCATACTACAATGGCAGCCACCAATGCCTATATTTTACACAGATGTATCCAAACAGAGAACGAAAGCAAAAAAAAAACTACTCGCACTCCCAGACTTTCGCGAAACACTAGCCGCAGGGCTGGTGACATATAAAAACAAAAACTTACCGGGTCGTCCAATCAATACAAACAATGCATCTTCACCGCGATGGGCAAATCAGTCTCCAACCTCTCAGTCAGGACGAACAATAAGGGAACGGGAAAAGCAGTCTCCACTCTCTTATCGACCTTTTCAGCATGAGCTCAAACATGGTCAAAAATCAAAGCATCCAATATCGGACTTGCGGTTTGACCAGCTAAACCATTACCCACATTGGTTGGATCGAAACAGTGGAAAAAGATGTTGCAAGCACTGTAAAACTTCACAAACGCAATGCATATGCACGAAATGCAATCTGCATTTATGCTGCACAGCGAATAAAAACTGTTTTGTAGAATACCATAAGAAAAAATAAAATAAATCTTCATTATCGAAAATGTTTTTTTTTTCACTCAAAGCCACAAGCTTGCCTTCAGGCCCGCTTACCTTTTTTCCCAGCTTACAGGTGAACCAAAATTTTTATGTTATTTCTAAGCACAAATTTGAGCTTAGAAGCATTCATTCACTTAAAAAAAAATTATTTGGAAACTTTTTTTCTTCTATTTTGGAAAGTAGTCTTAAAGGGTTAAAGTTTTAAGCGACAAGAATGTTAAGTGGAAATGGTGTGTAAGGTATTAAAATAAGTAAGCACTTCGTTGTTATCTTAACGCTAGCATTCAAATTTTTTGTTTAGGTATTACATTATAGATTTGTGTTCAAAAGCTACTTTCTGTAAAGAAAATGGGAAGAAGGAAGTCGAAAAGGAAACCGCCACCGAAAAGAAAGAATATTGAACCACTTGATCAACAATTTAATTGCCCATTTTGCAACCATGAAAAGTCATGTGAAGTGAAAATGTAAGCAAAAGGCCTGTTCCTAAATTAGTTTTTTTTTTATATCTGCGAAATTGTTTACAAGTGCAGTCCACGTTAAAAACAGCTTAAAAAAATAAAGTAAAATATGCAAATGATGTGTTTTTTTCTAACATTTCGAAATCCGTTGGCGGAAAGTGAAAATTGTGCACCGTTCTTTTGTTATTAACATTTAAAGATGCGATTGGTAGTACTGAAACGCAGGGACTTTAACCGCTTCTTTCTTTGCATCGTTTACTCTAAAAAATAGGAAAACATAAATTTTCATAAGCTAAGATATAATTATAAAGGCACGATTTTAGTTTCCGGGGCGCCAAGATTTGGTAAAATTGCGCTTTAGCGGCTTTTGCTAAAAATGGTCTAGGAATTTTTTTTTTTTTTTTAATGGATACCTTGGGGCCTAAACATTAATAAAAAAGTGGCGGAAAGCTTAAATTTTAATTATTTATGTGTTAAAATTGCAATTATTACTGCCGCGAGGCAACCCGTTTTAGAACATTGCCATGTTTTTCTAGCGAAAAAATTTACCGTTGAGAATGTGTTGTGGATGAAGAGTGCTGCAATTGTGTGAAAATTTAAAAACAAAAGAAATTTAACAATTTTACCATGTCAGGCACTGCCAATTTTACTACTGAACGCTGTAAAGGTTGCGAAATGACTCAGAGTGATTTTATAGTACTGAGTGAATACCCAGAAAAGCTATGGCCAGTTGCTTTTTTGCTATTTTTACAAATAAATACTTAGAAATCAAGCTTTCCGCCACTTTTTTATTAATGTTTAGGCCCCAAGGTATCCATTAAAAAAAAAAAAAAAATTCCTAGACCATTTTTAGCAAAAGCCGCTAAAGCGCAATTTTACCCAAGATTTGAGGACATATTTTGGGTAATTGGCCCAAAATAAATACTTTTTAAGGGGGGGTAAGGTCAAATCATGCGAAAAAAGCCATGTTTTTGTGATTTTTTTTCCTGACGACACAGTTAAAATTTAGTTATTCAACCAACGGTACATTAAAGTATGACATTAGAAGAATGTTTTATCAAATTTTTACAAAAAAATATTAAAAAATATGGTAATGGTAGCAATTGTCCGGACGTGTAGCCAAAAAAAGTTGAATTGCGGTGCCCCTCATAACTCGGTGCTGGATCATCTTAAATCAAAAAATGAAAGTTCATTTGTTAGATAATAGTTATCCCCAGGTAACGCTGTGAAGGTTTTTTGAAAATTGCAATTTTTTTTATTTTTTCGAAGACTTTGAAGTGAAAAACACAATTTTTTGGGAAAAAATCGGTAAATTTTTCATTGCGAAATCAAAATTATGAACAAAAAAAAAAAAACTCGACAGCGTTGCCTCGTAAAATATGTACAGAAATAGTGTTTAAAATTTCAAAAGGATCGGTGCAGTAGTTTTGAAGTTATGAGGGGCACCGACTTTGAAAATAGCGTGTTCGGCAAAATCGATTCAAAGTATTTTTATACGTGAAAATACGCCCAAATACGGTTGTTTAAAACGCTGTAACTCCGTTAGTTTGACTTTAATTGACTCAAAATTTTTACACAATGTTCTCGACATATTAATCATTCAGAAAAAAAAAAAAAAAAATTTAAAACCTTACCCCCCCCTTAATAAAATTTTTTCCCCAGTGTAACGGCCGCACTATAAGCCGATATTTATGGCTCGATATCTCGTAAACGGTGCGAGAAATCGAAAAATTTTATTTAATAAAAAGTGTTTATTTTGGGCCAATTACCCAAAATATGTCCTCAAATCTTGGCGCCCCGGAAACTAAAATCTCCCCATTATAAATAATAATTATTATAATTTTGGTAAAGTTGCGCTTTAGCGGCTTTTGCTAAAAATGGGCTAGGAATTTTTTTCTTTTTTTTAAGGGATACCTTGGGGCCTAAACATTAATAAAAAATCAAAATTTTGACTATTCCTCCTGTCATTACCTGTTTGTATCTTTCCTTTAGGTAATGCTTTTGGTTTTTTGTATGTATTTTTGATAATTTTCATCAGAGATAACTTCCTCACCGCCAGACACTTTTTAAATAGACCTTCAGCAGATCTTCTACAGATCGAAGGAACCCAATATTTTTTTTTAAATATTAACTCCTAAAATTAAATTCTCTAACTTTTCATATATTACATGCACATATTCAATAAAAAGCCTCTCCAGGAAAAATTAAAAAAAAAAACAACAAATTTTTTTGCCCTTACAACTGGATATAACATGACATTAAAAAGTTTGTTACGGTTACAGATTTAAAACGTTTTGTTTCTATAAAGATCGGTTTATTATATAATATTGCTGCCATAGAATGAGAACTTCGACTTAACTGTATGTATACTGTTCAGTGCTGACGCTGGTAGAATCAAACCAACAATATGAAAATATGAATAAAGAACTTTAAACTTTTAATAGGCACTATGTGTCCAAATATGTTGATATAACATTTTGTGGTACTTCCTTAACCTGCAAAATTCTATGGCAGCCCAGTTTGGGTGGTACAGCATTTTAAATTGCTGTCTTGGATTGAATCCAAGGGATACTTATGCAGAGAGACTTTTTCTCGCCCACGTTTTCGCCCTGTAACAAACTTCAACAGAATGTAATTAAGAGTGGAGAGTGGACAAAAAAATAGGTTAAGTTCTCGGAATAATTAGAGCTAAACCAGAAAGCTTAATTTTTATTAAATTTGTGTTGATTAATACCATTTTTATTTAATATTGCAGGGACAAAGGCAGGAACACAGCGAAAATAACCTGTAGAGTGTGCTTGGAAGACTTTCAAACTGGAATTAACTTTCTTTCAGAGCCTATCGACGTTTACAATGACTGGGTAGATGCTTGTGAAACAGCAAATTAAATTAAAATATGCAGTTTATTTTGTAATTTAAATATAAAAATTTATATATAAACTACTGTTAGTGCTTTGTAAGTCTATAAAACAAACAAAACTTAACTATACATAAAATAAAAGAAAATGACGATACCACAGTATTTTTGTCCATAGATTTCAGAGTTAGGCCCAAAGGGACATATTGAAGAGTTGTATATAAGTTAACAATGCAACGGTGATCAAAGATAAGAGCACGACGACGGACGGCGCATGAAGTTATACGAAGGACGCTCGTCGACGGCTGTGATCTGTGCGAGTTAGGGTTACGATTAAGCTCTCCTTCTCTTACGTTTATTAGTTCTGAGCTGACAGCCGAAGAATAAAGGCATCTCTTGTAAATCATGTGTGCTATTTTTTCTAATCACCGTTGGAGTAATAGCTGGAGCCACGACCCGGTTACCAGCTTACAGGAAGAGGATCAACAGCATCATCGTCACTGATCGTGGCCACCACCTGGTCTAGATCGGTGCTCTGCGTCTTTTTACGAGTGCAGAGTCAACTACCAAGTGGCCGGCCGTTGTGGGCAGCAACTTGCCGCAGCGGTTACATCGGAACTAACACTTCCGTGAGCAGCACGTGCCACGGTGGAAACCATCTGCAAGAGCTGAGCAGGTGGAGAATATTGTGGGCAAACACGCTGCCACAATATTAATAACCGTATCTGGCGCCCAACCGAGTCGAAGACCCCGACGAAATCTCGAAAACACGACGAAAAACAAAATCATCATCTTAAAACTGGTACCCCAGATGGGACTGTTCTGGACCGCACAGAAGACTGCGAAAGAGAAGGAAAACTTTCTTAGATTCATGTAAGTGAAACCTTTTTATGAATTGCCAGAAAAAGTTTAAAGAAACGATAGTAAGATAACATATTTAAATTTGTGTTATTTCTTAACAAACATTTAATTTTTGAAAACAGTGTCGGCAGTAAAGTCAAGAAGTTAGAGTGATTTATTTTTTTGTGGGTCTAGTGTTTTTTTTCGAATCAGTAAAATCAATTTCGCGAACGAAGAGGACGGTAAATAGATAAGCGCCTAGCTTGGCGACGGTTCAATATTTTTTGAGACGATTGTATGAGCGATTCAGAGTCTGAAGACTTGGTTGTTCGGCTGAGTTACCTCGCCTTATCTGAAGAGGCCGCTGAACGAATAGTACAGACAAAACAAAGTATGGATCCACAACAACTACAGGCAATCATAAACGCAGCAGTTTCGGCCGCATTACATGTGCAGAAACAGGAGTTTGAAGAGAAATTGAGGGAAGTCACTGATAAGTTTAGCGCTGCGACACTATCTGCTCCTGATATTGCACTATACGTGCCTGTTGCTGTATCCGGTAATGTGCCTTGTGACGAAGGCCTTGATGCGGTAAAATCATTGCCAGAGTTTGATGGCTCACAGGGAAAATATGTTTCTTGGCGGCAGGCAGCACTAGCATCATATGAGCTGTTCAGACGGTTTGACAGGAGTTCAAAGCACTATCAGCCTGTTCTCATAATTCGTAACAAGATTAGGGGATCTGCTGATTCTATCCTTTCATCCTTTAATACTGTTCTCAATTTTGATGCTATTATAAGCCACCTTGACTTTACCTATTCCGATATGCGTCCATTATACTTGCTGGAGCAAGAGCTCACAACACTAAGGCAGGGGCAGATGTCTATCACACAGTTTTATGAGGAGGTTGAGAAGAAACTAACACTTCTAACAAATAAGACAACTATGACATATGATACTGACCATGCCCGATATATGAATGATAAATATAGAGCTGATGCCCTACGTGTATTTGTTTCCGGGCTAAAGAGAAATTTAACCGATGTGCTCTTTGCGGCTCAGCCTAGGGACTTGCCATCAGCCTCGGCAATGGCACAGGAAATAGAGGCAAACCACGAGAGGCATGCCTTTGCCACACAATATGCCAGGTCTGTAGAGGAGAAACATCTTAGACAGGTCCAGAGTCGCCCATTACAGAAGACACCCGAATCCAACCACGAACAGATACTAAAAAAGGGGTGGAAAAATCCATATTTTACAAGGGATCAAGGTCAACGAACCGTTGTTGATAATAGATCATTAGAGAAGAAGGACGTAGATCCAAAATTGTCGATGTTCCGTCAATCGACAAATTTTCAGCGTTCTCAGGGTTCTTCCGCGCTGCAGGCACTGGATGCTTAGAACAGTTTAGACATGAAAGACCGATAAACTCTCAAATGTTGTCTGACTTTAGGCGTCAAAGAGTAAATCATCTGTTTGAAGAAAAAAGGATGGTCAAACCGAGGTTTATTATAATCAGATTGCTAGTGATGCGGTAGATGACATAGACGGTGAAGAAAAAACGGACTATGAAAGTGATGCCGTGCATTTTTTAGGGGATCTTCCCTGCTTCCGTTCATCCAACGAACAGTAGCGGGGGAACCACGAAAGTTCCTAGTTGACACGGGGGCCTCTAAAAGTCGCTTCATGGGTTTGAAAAAATAGAACAGAAATGCCAGTTTTATCTTTTTGGTGTAGAAAGCCCTTTCTTCCTATTACCCGGACTTAAAAATTTTGACGGCATAATTGGCCTTGACCTGTTAGCGCAAGTAGGAGCGACCATTGATCTTAAAAGCAATTCTATTAGATTTAATGGGGGACGTGAGGATCTGTACTTTTAAAAATGCTCTCAGGTCAACTTTACGAAAAACGGACTATGAAAGTGATGCCGTGCATTTTTTAGGGGATCTTCCCTGCTTCCGTTCATCCAACGAACAGTAGCGGGGGAACCACGAAAGTTCCTAGTTGACACGGGGGCCTCTAAAAGTCGCTTCATGGGTTTGAAAAAATAGAACAGAAATGCCAGTTTTATCTTTTTGGTGTAGAAAGCCCTTTCTTCCTATTACCCGGACTTAAAAATTTTGACGGCATAATTGGCCTTGACCTGTTAGCGCAAGTAGGAGCGACCATTGATCTTAAAAGCAATTCTATTAGATTTAATGGGGGACGTGAGGATCTGTACTTTTAAAAATGCTCTCAGGTCAACTTTACGAAGATTGAGGGTATTGTCGTGCCCCCGACAGTGCAAGAAAATTTTCAACAGATTATGTCTTAATACTCAGGGGCCTTTGCTGACTCAAATAAGAAGTTGCCGCTCAACATAAATGTTGTAGCGACTATTCGGACAGAGGATAATGAGCCAGTATATTCCAAGCTGTACCCGTTTCCGATGGGTGCTGCCGATTTTGTCAACCAGGAGATCAAAGACTTACTAAGAAATGGAATTATTCGACCATCTCGGTCTCCCTACAACAACCCTACATGGGTTGTAGGTAAAAAGGCTCCGACGCTTCGGGATCACTTAATAAACGCTTAGTAGTCGATTTTAGAAAATTAAATTTGAAAAATATCGCCGATAGATACCCAATGCTCAGTATAAATATGATACTGTCGAATCTGGGAAAGGCCAAATTTTTCACTACCCTCGATCTTAAGTCCGGATACCACCAGATAGAACTTGTGGAATTGGACAGGGAGAAAACTTCTTTTTCGGTCAACGGAGGCAAGTACGAATTCTGCCGGTTACCTTTCGGACTAAAGAATGCCTCAAGCATTTTTCAAAGGGCAATAGACGACGTCCTCCGGGAGAAAATAGGAAGGATCTGTTACGTCTATGTGGATGACGTTATTGTCTTTTCAGAAACTGAAGGAGCTCATGTTGGTTTTAAAGAGCCTGCAGGACGCCAACATGCGCGTATCCAGGCAAAAGTCACATTTTTTTAAAGAAACAAGCACCAGTTAAGCGCATTTGACAAGCTAAGAAACATTCTTGCTTCAGAGGACGTTATTCTTCATTATCCAGATTTTACGCGACCATTTGATTTGACAACTGATGCTTCATCCTTTGGCATAGGTGCAGTCTTGTCTCAGGGAAATAGGCCTATAACGATGATTTCCAGAACGTTGAAAGATAGGGAATTAAATTATGCCACGAACGAAAGGGAGTTACTGGCAATTGTATGGGCCTTGGATAGTCATCGACACTACCTCTATGAGAAAAGTGACATAAACATATTTACGGACCATCAGCCTTTTATATTTGCGGTCTCTGATAAGAATCCTAATTCAAAACTCAAGCGTTGGAAGGCCCGCATTGAAGAAAGTGGTGCAAAGGTCATGTATAAGCCAGGTAAAGAAAACTGTGTGGCGGACGCTTTGTCGCGACAAGGTATTAACATTTTGCAAAGTTCAGCGGAGTCGGATCGAGCCACTATTCACAGTGAAGAGTCATCAAGACTTGTCATTGAGGCCACGGAAAAGCCACTTAACTGTTTTCAAAACCAGATCGTATTGGAGGAGGCGTCCTCGTCAAATAAGCGACTATTTATAGTGTTTGGTACTAAGACTCGTCATCAAATTGATTTTTCTGATTGGGAGACATTAGTGGACTTAGTGAAAGACATGGTAACGCCCAACGTCGTGAACGCCATACATTGTAAGCTTCCAGTCTTGCCCTGTATTCGGCTCTTCCCGGCCACTAAATTTTGGTATTGTAAGTCTTGGGTGGCGGACGTTACCAAACCGGACGAGCAAAAAGAAATACTAGTTGTGGAGCATAACAGGGCTAACAGAGCTGCCCAGGAGAATATAAAAAAAGTGCTGCTCGACTATTATTTTCCAAAGATGGGCAAAATAGCGGCTGAAATCGTTCTAAACTGCAGGATTTGTCAGAAGGCAAAATATAATAGGCAACCATTAAAGCAGGAATTAGGAATTCCCCAATACCATCGCGGGTGGGAGAGATGTTACACATGGACATTTTCTCAACAGGGGGAAAGTACTTTCTCACTGCTGTCGATAAATTCAGCAAGTTTGCGGTGGTCCAGCCAATAGCATCGCGTGCCATATTAGATGTGAAAATCCCAATCCTTCAACTGGTGAATTTTTTTCTCTAATGTTAGATCAATTTACTGCGATAATGAGGCATCGTTTAACTCCGAAACTATACGATCCATGCTGAAAAATCAGTACGATATCGATATAGCAACTGCCCCACCTTTACACAGTACGTCAAATGGACAGGTGGAAAATAGACGATGTCACGCAGTTATTCCTTCAGGCGACTATAGAGTACAACAGGTCATTTCACTCTGTCATTAATAGAAAACTTGTTGAGATCATCCATGCTAGTGCTGACTTTGCCCCGGATATAATTATGAACCTTAAAAAGGCACAGCAGGAGCAGTTAAATCGCAACAATTCAGCTCGACAGAATAGGGTATTTAACGTAGGTGAGAAAGTTTTAGTAAAAACCAACAAGAGATTGGAAGATAAGCTTACGCCTTTGTATGTCGAGAACAGGGTCGATGCTGATATTGGGACAACGGTCCTAATTAATGGGAGGGTGGTCCACAAGGACAATATTCGATAAGGGCCACTAAAAAATATTGTTTTCTAGGCTTCCTGTACCAAATTGTGGAAGGTACCCAAAACTCTGATAACTTCCAAAGGTAGAGTCTTACCATCGATTTTGAATTGCAGGCTCAGAAGAAAGCTCACACAACCGTAGTCAATTATTTTAATTGTAAATAACTTATCTGATTTCACTATTTCAAAAGTAAATGTTGTAAATCATAGTATACACTTATGTGCTAAAGGCGATTCAAAAGGGTGTTTCACAAAGGCTAACTTGCTGCCTAATGTGGCTAAGATAAAAAAAACTAGCTAGTAAGAAATTATTGAATATTGTAGAATTAATATTTAGTTTGTAAGGTAAATAATACGAATCTTTTCCAATCGCACACAAATGCCAGCTGCAGCAGCGTTAAACTGCTTTGCGTTCTGCGTATTGATAAAGATAGAGATTTATCAGGCGGCGAAGCAGTGCCTCGATAGTGGTGACTCAAATCCTTGCTAACATGGATATGGCCGAGGACGTCCATGTTTTAAAAAGAAGAGTAGTTAACAATGCAACGGTGATCTAAGATAAGAGCACGACGACGGACGGCGTATGAAGTTATACGAAGGACGCTCGTCGACGGCTGTGATCCGTGCGAGTTAGGGTTACGAATAAGCTCTCCTTCTCTTACGTTTATTAGTTCTGAGCTGACAGCCGAAGAATAAAGACATCTTATGTAAATCGTGTGTGCTATTTTTTCTAATCACCGTTGGAGTAATAGCTGGAGCCACGACCCGGCTACCAGTTTACAGGAAGAGGATCAGCAGCATCATCGTCACTGATCGTGGCCACGTCCTGGTCTAGATCGGTGCTCTGCATCTTTTTACAAGTGCAGAGTAAACTACCAAGTGACCGGCCGTTGTGGGCAGCAACTTCCCGCAGCGGTTACAACTAACATTTCCGTGAGCAGCACGGTGGAAACCTCCTGCAAGAGCTGTGCAGGTGGAGAATATTGTGGGCAAACACGCTGCCACAATATTAAACACGCTGCCACAATATTATCTTATACACTTGTCCCTCGCTTAACACGGACTCTTTTAGCACGAACTCGGTCTTACACGGTTACGAATTTGCTCCCATCCCCCTTTGAACACGCTAAAAACCTCGTTCTTACACGATTGCAAAATATCGATAATGAAATGACAGATTTTTTTTTGATAACGAGACACCAAAAAAGAAAACATGTTAAAACAAACTCGCCACCAAATGGATTTCAAATTTGATATGATAGAAACATATGATCTTATTTTTTAACATTTTTAAGTTTCTTTAAAGTTTAACCTGCTAATTAATTACATAAAGCAACTTTTTTAATTTAATACCAACTTTTAATTTTGAAAATATAAATGTTATGCATTTATTAAAGGCATATACGTAATAACTTTTGGTTTATTTTGAACCAATGTATGAAACTTTAATAAAAACATATTAAATATGAACAATAAAAAATTTTTATTGCTATGAACTTTGAATTTTGAGAACGTAACCCCTATTTTGTACTGAATGCATGTTTCGCTTAATACGAGGATTTCTAGGAACGTAACCCCCGTGCTAAGCGAGGGCCAAGTGTACTGATTTTTTTTTGGTTAGCAACAAAGACAAATATTCCTGCTCCGACTGCCCAAAGGCGGAGCCGAAGACAAGCTCATGCATATTAGTCAAAAGGAACCATAGCATTTTCTTGTTTAGAAATTCAAGGCACATAGCCTGAAACCACAGCAAACTTGAATCGGATTGGTTTTTAAAGCCCCCAAAAACTAGAAAGACTCGGTCAAGAACTATAGTCTCGGAAGAGTACTCATACTTTAACCATAGATACATAGATACACTAAAAACTTAGGCAACCTGAGTTTTTAAGCTGAAAATGTGCTACCTTAGAATACCATACGCCAGATAAACCTAAACTATTTGATCTGCAGATTTGCAGAAGGATGTGTTGAGTTAGCGAGCTTTTTCACTAACTATTTTTTGGCAAGATAACACAAAGATTTTATTTGGGTTTTATAAGGTGTATTTGATTAGATCGAAGGGAAATTATAACAAGTTTTATTTCAATTATTTCACTTATGTTTATTAAGTACAATAGAGTTTATTTAGCGGCACAAGGGCGGCGACAAAATAATACGAAATTATGCGCAGACAAACCCGAATTGGTTTGAGCGTTAAATGCAACGATCTAGCAACGATCTTGATAACGACGACAACTATTAACGACTGTTAGCTAACAACGACTTAGCGACGACTGATAAAGACTATTTTTGGCAATGCCGATGCAATGCAGCTGCATGAGCTTAACGAAGAAGTGCGAGATGATAAATGATAAGCAAAGAACAAGCGATGGTTAAGAGAATTGCCTCGCAGGGCAAGCGAATTTAAGAGAGTTTGCCTCGCAGGGCAGTTACAATAGTTTTTAGTTATGATGTTAAGAAAACAAAAAGGGATGCTATTTAAGTTGTTTGGGCTGGACCAAACATTCTCCCCCCGTTGGAAGGCCAGGGCTTTCAACATCATCCTTCGTAGGCAAAGGGCACAATTTGGCGACAGCTCTCTTGGTGGTTCCTGTTGCAGTCTTCAGGACAGCGACTCGACAGATTTCATCCTTTCCCTTTATCAGCTCTAGCACACGAGCTAATGGCCATTTAAGTGGTGGTAGATTTTCATCCTTAATTAGGACGACATCGTTGACTTGCAGACTGGGTTGAGGAGAACGCCACTTGGATCTCTGCTGAAGGAGCGTCAGGTATTCTTCACGCCAGCGTTTCCAAAAGGTTTCCTGCAAATAAGACATTTTCTGCCAACGATCAAGTCGGTTGACATTTAGGTTAGAGAGATCTGGTTCGCAGAAACTGGTAGCAGGACCGCCAGTTAAAAAATGTGCCGGAGTCAGGACATCAAGGTCTGCTGGATCCTCTGATAGGGGCAGCAGCGGTCTAGAGTTGATGATGGCTGAGATCATGCAAATGATGGTGCGCAACTCATCAAATCCTAGTGTGGATTGCGAAATAGTCCGATAAAGATGATGCTTGGCTGTCTTAACTGAGGCCTCCCACAGGCCTCCAAAGTGAGGCGATCTGGGTGGAATGAATTTCCATTCGATGGAGTCAGCTAGACAGAAGCTCTCGATTGCCTTCAAATGGTCCTCAGCTAGGAATAAACGACGAAGTTCGGCAAGCTCGTTCTTGGCTCCAGTAAAGTTGGTAGCATTATCAGACCAAATGCATTTGGGACGACCTCTTGTTGCAATGAAGCGTCTGAGGGCTGCCAAGAATGTTGGTGTGGATAAATCAGCCACTAGTTCCATGTGAACTGCTTTGGTTGCAAAGCATATAAAAATGCATATGTAGCATTTCAACGGCTGGCGTTTTCGTCCTTCAGGCTTATACATGAATGGGCCGCAGTAGTCCACTCCAGTGATAGTGAAAGCCTTGCAAGAATCCACGCGATCCTTTGGCAGGTCTGCCATAACATGCTGAAGTGTACGCGGCCGAGCACGACAGCAGCGAATGCACTTGGTGACCACAGCAGCGACTGTTCTTCTCCCCCCGATGGGCCAATAGTGGAGTCTGATTCTGGCCAGCAACGTCCGAGGTCCTGCGTGAAGGCTTTCTTCGTGGAAGTGCTTGATGATAGCCGAAGTAATTGGATGCTTCCTGGGCAGGATCATGGGATGTCGAGAGTCAAAGGGCAGGCTTGAGTTCGACAGTCTACCTCCGACTCGTAGAAGACCAAAATCATCAACAAATGGAGACAGCGATGACAAGCAGTTCGATGGCTTCAGGACATGGTTGGCCTGAATTGCTTTTAAGTCAGCCCACATGGTAGCTCGCTGCACCGCTCGAACTAGGAGGCGTGTACCATTCTGTAAATCTGAAACAGTCAGAGTGGGTGATCTAAGTCGAAACAAGAATTTGTGTATGTATGCGAAAATTCGCTGCATAGCAGGAAATGAATTTTCAAACTTGCACGTAGATGTCAGATCAATCGGTGATGTCAAAACCAAGCACGTTGACTTGCGCAGCTCCAGTAAGCACTGCTCTTGGGCAGGGGATGGCGGCCAGCTGGATCGCGGTAGCAGCAAGAACGAAGGTCCATGAAACCAGAGATCGGATGCGTTCAATTCCATGGGCAAGGCTCCTCTGGATATGATATCAGCAGGATTTAGTGTAGTGGGTATGTGACGCCATTCCATTCCGCTAGACAGTCTTTGGATGGATGCTACTCTGTTAGCAACGAAAGTTGTGAATCGGGATGACTCACTATTCAGCCAAGCTAGGACTACGGTTGAATCGCACCAGCAGAAGTATGGACCTGAAAATATATCCATTTTTTGAAGCTCGCTCAGAAGATTGGCCAACAGAAGCGCTCCGCACAGTTCAAGCTTCGGAATTGACAGAGTTTTTAAGGGTGCTACTCGAGACTTGGCGCACAATAGTTGAGCATTGGATTTGTCAGCAGATCTGGATACAATATACACGCATGCTCCATAGGCAGACATGCTAGCATCGCAAAAACCATGGATTTCGATTGATCCCTTTGGTAATAGTACGTATCTGGGAAATGTCGTCCTTTCTACGCTGCGAAACTGAAGGCATATACTGGACCAGGTTGAGCTTAAAGATTCGGGCAAGCTTTCATCCCAGTGTAGCTTCTCCTTCCAAAGCTCCTGTAGGAAGATTTTGGCTTTGGTTATGACCGGGCTTATGAGGCCAAGCGGGTCATAAAATCGAGATATTGTCGAGAGCACAGAACGTTTGTTTGGCTTGGTCGTGGAATGCGTAGGCAAGTACGAGAAAAGAAGGACATCTGATGCAGGATCCCAAGCCAATCCGAGAGTTTTGGTTATGTCGCTTCCATCATGAAACTTCAGAAACGATTCTTTCTCATCTTCTGGAACATTTTCGAGAACGACTGGGACATTAGAGCACCACTTTCGAAGCATGAAGTGACCTTTCGCTAGCAAGTCCTTTGTTTGCTGAAGAATCTCCTCGACTTCTTCAATGGAACTGCCTCCCGTGATCAAGTCATCAACATAGAAATCACGTCTGACGATTTGAGATCCTACAGGGTACTTCGACTGCTCATCCATGGCCAACTGATGCATCGCTCGAACTGATAGAAAAGCGCCGGGTTTGGTACCGTATGTTACGGTGTCCAACTTGTAGATGCTGATGTCATCCTGATCAGAACCGCGCCAAAGAATGCATTGCAAATAGCTGTCTGACTTGGCTATTCGAACACAGCGATACATTTTTCCAATATCTCCAGTGAGAGCAACTGCAAAGGTACGAAAACGGATTAGAATATTGAAGAGCTTAGCCTGTATGGTAGGTCCTGCCATCAACACGTCATTCAGCGAAATTCCAGATGATGAAGCTGCTGATCCATCAAATACGACACGTAGTTTGGTGGTCGTGCTATCTTCCTTAAAGACGCAATGATGCGGGAGGAAGAATCTGCAGTGCATTCTATCATCCGGAGGTACAAGCGACATATGGTTGAGTTCCAGATACTCCTTTATAAAGTTCGAGTATTGTTCCTTGACATAAGGACGGCGTTCCAGTTTCCGCTCCAAGCTGAGAAAACGGCGAAATGCTTGCTGGTATGACTCTCCAAGTCCATCGATTTTTCCGGTTTTCGGTAGCTGAACTTCGTATTCACCAGTGGGTAGTCGCAAGAAGGTGTTTTGGAAATGTTCCTCGCATTCCGTTTCTTCTTTGGTGAATTTCGAGCTTTCCAAAGGACAGGATTCTAACTCCCAAAATCGCTGCAGAAGATCATCAATTCCATCTTCAGGCTCTGGCATCTTATCTGAAATAGATTGAGAGGCAACGAGAGTGTGGCAAGTTTGTGCCGTGCCACCAGAGACAACCCATCCAAGTCGAGTTTTCTGCAGAGTAGGAAGATGGGGGCCAAGCTTGATTTGTCCGATACATAACAAATCATAGAACAAACTTCCTCCTATGAGAAGGTCAATTCTCTTCGATTTGTTGAATTCCGGGTCAGCCAATGGTAGATTCGATGGGATATTCCATGGCGATGAGTCGAAATTGAAGTCAGGCTGGTCGTTGACAATGGAGGATGCAACCACGGCTTCAATACTTGCAGAGTAGTTGGTAGAGTTGGATGATAAATTCAGCTGGACAGCATATCCTGTAGTTTTGAAGCTAGAATCTCCAAGACCAGATACAGCAGCAGCAGATTTAATCCTTTTGAGCTGAAGAAGGTGTACGAATCTAGATGTTACAATGTGAACTTGCGAACCTGAGTCGAGTATGGCACGACAAGGTATTGGACTACCAGCTCTGTTTTTAATAAAAACATTAGCAGTTGCCCAGAGCACAAAGTTGCAAAGTTGAGGTCCTTCGAAAGAGGAAGAAGCTGAGTCAGAGGGCAGCGTGCAAGCGAGTGAGTACTGATTGGAAGAACCTTGAGCTATATTAGCTGGGGCCGGCGCAGGCTGAGTTGGCGGTAGCATTGCAGACGACGTTGAAAATGGTGCGTCTCCCAAATGAAGCAATGTGTGATGCTTGGATCCACATTTCCTGCAGCCGCTAGAATTGCACGAGCGCAATTGATGCCCGTCTTTAAGGCAATTTATGCACAGGGACATCTTCTTCACTTCCTTCAGCCTTAGTGCTGGGGAAAGATTTCCAAATCTCGTGCATGTATATATGGAGTGGCCACTATCGCTGCAGAATCGGCATCGTGATGGACTGGTAGCTAGTAGGGCCTTGTTCGAACGATTTTGCCTTCCAGATGAGTGGCTGGATGAATGGGTAGCCATGGCAAGCTCCACATTCTCTAAAGTCTGGCAACGTCTCTCCAGGAACTTCGAAAACTCCTCCCACGATGGTATTTTATCAACCGAGCACGACTCCTCCCACTTGGCTTGGGTAGGTGGATCCAGCTTTTGCACCAAGGCTTGAACAATGAAGCAATTTGCAATTTGCTCTTGATCGCCTAATGCCTGAAGAGCCCGCATGTGACTGATAAGCCTATCAGAAAGTTCTCTCAACTTGCCAACTGACCCAGCTTCGATCGTCTTTAGGCCAAAGATTTGTGCAACATGTGCCTGAAAAACAATGCGTTTATTATTAAATCTGTTATTTAATAATTCAAGAGCGATACGGTAGTTGCTGTCAGAGATTTCCAGTGATTTTATGGTGTCGAGGGCCGCATCCTTGAGGCAGGAGCGCAGGTGCTGCAGTTTTTCGATATTCGAGAGTCCAGGATCCTTGTCGATGATCGTCGAAAACATGGCATGAAAATCGGCCCATTGTGTGTAGCCGCCACTAAATGTTGGAAGTTTAAGATCCGGCAATCGAGATTTTTGAGTTACGAAAATCGAATGGGACGAAAATGGATCTTCCGCGCGAAATGTTGAAGATAAAGGCACAGTCGAATTGCGTTTACGAATTTCTGCACGGATGCGAACTTTAAGGGTGGCTATAAGCTCTTCGAAATTATCGCGTAATGGGCTACCGATTTCATTATAGTCTTCCTTTTCTAAGTTGTCATGAGCCAGGCAAAAACAATCACTTAGTTTGTTCACAAGGTCTTCTCGCACACTAAGATCATTGTCACACATGCCTCTAAGCATTTCCACTGTTAATTGCTTATTTATTGTTTCAGCACGTTGCCAAATTGATTCGGCTTTAAGCTTAAAAAAGGTGGCTTGAGTTTGTGGCGAAAGGGTTTTGTCTTCAACCGACATGTTTCACTTAAGGCAAGACACCCTGTATAGAACCAAACGAACGTAGCACAAAAGGAGAAAAAGAACACGCGATAATACCGCAAGCGCGACTTGCACAGAGGGCAAAATGTCACTCGGCCAACGACCTCCGAATTACACCGAATTACAAGTTGCAAGACTTGTATTAATTTATAATTAATTCACTTCGAATGTTTGTGATTATCTCGCCGGGGCCTCCAAAATGTTGAGTTAGCGAGCTTTTTCACTAACTATTTTTTGGCAAGATAACACAAAGATTTTATTTGGGTTTTATAAGGTGTATTTGATTAGATCGAAGGGAAATTATAACAAGTTTTATTTCAATTATTTCACTTATGTTTATTAAGTACAATAGAGTTTATTTAGCGGCACAAGGGCGGCGACAAAATAATACGAAATTATGCGCAGACAAACCCGAATTGGTTTGAGCGTTAAATGCAACGATCTAGCAACGATCTTGATAACGACGACAACTATTAACGACTGTTAGCTAACAACGACTTAGCGACGACTGATAAAGACTATTTTTGGCAATGCCGATGCAATGCAGCTGCATGAGCTTAACGAAGAAGTGCGAGATGATAAATGATAAGCAAAGAACAAGCGATGGTTAAGAGAATTGCCTCGCAGGGCAAGCGAATTTAAGAGAGTTTGCCTCGCAGGGCAGTTACAATAGTTTTTAGTTATGATGTTAAGAAAACAAAAAGGGATGCTATTTAAGTTGTTTGGGCTGGACCAAACAGGATGCTATGCATAAAAGTGCAAACCAAGGGGCAAGAACTGCCAACTACCGATCCTCGAAGCCATCTGCAGGACCCCTGTTCAAAAGAGTCAAATCTGAAATTAAGGAGGGCTTGTAGAAATACAATACGGTTTTAAACTTTAAAAGAGGTCTTTAATTCTTCCGAATTTTAGAAATTGTGTACAAGTGCGGTCCACGGTAAAACCAGAGCTAAAGCAAAGTAAAATACGCAAGTGACGTTTTTTTTTTTATAAAATACGCAACCTGTTGCCGGAAAGGGAACATTTATCACCCTTTTATTATAACTGAGATATTTGGTTATCTATAAACAGACAGGCTTACCTGTCTTGATTTATTTATATATCTCCCTTCCGCATTTTTCTCTTTATAATTTTGCGGGTATGTACAAAGCGTTACAAAGCTTTTATCTGACAATACTACAAACTACAAAACGACGCTATGCACGATTAGGATAATGCGTTTAACAGTTATAGACGTGTAAACATGGATTAATCATGGAGAGAACAACGCAGAAATTCGACGTAAATTGATTACGTACGACAATATCAAGCGAAAACGTTAGTGGTCGAAGGCCGAGGAATCAACTCGAACAAAGGCCGAGCCCGGAATTGACGGCCAGAAAGTGTTTTCTTTGTGTTTGGTGGGATTGGAGGGGAGTCATCCACTATGATCTGCTCCAATATGGCCACGCTTCATTCTACCATCTACTACTAACAAGCTACTAAGAAGCGCCCAGAATTGCCCAACAGGAAGGGTTTAGTGTTCCACCAGGACAACGCCAGACCACACATTTTATCGCATCCACATTTGCTTTTTATCGAATTTACCATAAAGCCCGGAAATAGGCTTGTGAAAAGTGGATGATCGAGTTCTTCGCAAATAAGGAGGGGGCTTGTACGAGGTATTATGTAGTTGTCGTCTAGATGAAAACAGATTATAAAACAAAACAGCGCAAATTTGAAGTAAATGATGTAAATTGAAGTAAACCCTCTGCAAGTATATACAAAACTTGTTACTATAGTGTTGTGATGACTGCTACTGTGGTCATCGACTCGACAATTGATCCGTGAGAAAGTTAATAATAATAATTTGGAGTTGGTAGCTTTTAGGTCAGTTAATAGATTTAAAAGAAATTTTGTTACATTTGTATTTGTAATTTTCATTTGATGGGAAGTGATATAAGATAATTAATAGGGGTGTTTAAATTTGATGTGAAATTTTACATAACCGTAAAAAATTTGTGGGTGTTAGCGACCTTTCCAATTGAATATTTGGTGTTTTTGCCGGCTCAAGGTCTAGGTGAATTAAAAACACAATTTAAGTTTTTAAACCAATATATTTCGGCTGCTCCTCGGCAACCGTCTTCAGGGAAATTTTTGACACGTCTGCGTAACCGTAAAAAAGATAATAATAGATCGGAGTTGGTAGCAGTAAGGTCAGTTAATAGATTTGATGGCGGGGTAAGACCGAATGGGTTAGCTCTAATGTTTTGGTAGTGTCGGCAGGTATCCAGCAGATGCTTAACGGAAAGTTCTTCTCCGCAGTTAGGGCAGTTTGGCCGACCTTCCCCATTAAGGATGTGCTTATGTGTGAGATTAGTATGTCCGGTTTTTAATCGAGTAAGAATGGCACATTCCCTTCGGTTGATCGAAGCATGGACCTTGATGTCTTTCTTGTCAGGGTTAAATAGTTTATACCACTGCAGTGGTTAATCGACGACCAGTCTTCCAATTCGACATTTAGCAAAATGTTTTTGACGTTTTTCCAGATGTCCTGTTGTACTCCAGGCATGATTGTATGGCACGGAGCCCGTCCGGCTTTGCTGCTTTGTCGGCCAACTCGTTCCCAATTATTCCTATATGAGCCGGGACCCATAATAGTTAATTTTGGCTTTGTTTTTGTTGCAGAGGTGATGAATTTCAGATAAAAGGTTATTATTATTGCAGAATTTTCGTACTCCTTGCAGGGTGGACAGACTATCACTGCAGATTGTATAGTTACTTTAAGTTCGAGAGCAAATCTTATTGCCTTTATAATAGCTACTGCTTCCGCAGTAATAACTGAGGTGAGGTAGTTGACCCCATGAGACAGTTAATCCGTTTAGGTTAACTACTGCAAAGGGCGTTGTGGCGCCGGACTTTGAACCATCGGTGTAAAGCCATTTCCTATCGGAGTATTTATGGGTAACTTCTTCAAATACAATAGCTGCTTAAACGTTGTGATTGGAGTCCTTGATTTTTGGAAATTTTGGAGTGTAGTGTCAATGGCGGAGGAGTGTAATTTCCACGGAGGGGATGGAATGACTTTGTTTCAATGATAGACGATCCTATGCTGTGTTTCTTTATAAAGGTTATACATCTTCGTATCGTGGATTGGACTTTAAACTTTTTACGGTGTTTTAAGGCCACTTCGTAGTCCTTCAGCAGAATGGAGTTTTATGAGCACATAAGTTTTGGAATTAATTTGAAGGTAGTTTGCGCAACTCTGTCTTTAATATCCGGTAATCCTGCTTCGGCAAGGATGCATTTACTTAGGGTAGTTGGGAATGCGCCAATGCTGCGCCTGACTGCAGCATGGTAAGGGGGTAAGATTTTGCTTAAGTTGGATGGCGCGCACCAGCCGTAGATGGGGAGGCCGTTATCAATTGTGGACAGCAACAAAGCTCTTGTCGCTTGTATTAGTGTGGTCCGGTGGATGAGAGATCGCTTAGATGTTAAGAATTTAATAATGTTAAGTCTATTAATAAGTTTAATCTCAAGTTCGCTACAGTGTTGTTTAAATGGGAGTCGTTTATCAATTGTCAGGCCAAGTATTTTAAGAGAAGAAACTCGTTCCATATCTATGTTATAGAACGATAATGGTGGGTATGTACAGTGCTGTTTTTTACAAATATGAAAAACCGCACCGGAGGTGTTACCCAAGATTTGGATTTCATTAAGGACATTTTTAGTATTCTTACATTTGCTAAAAAATATGGCATCGTCTGCATAAATTGACAGTTTAGTTTGCTTGTGTCTTAATATTATGTTATTTAAGGACTGGAAGGCGATCATGAACAATAATACCACAGAGAGGGGCGATCCTTGTGGGATGCCATTGTGGAGAATATAGAATTTAGACAGAGTGTGGTTAACTCTTACTCGAATAGAGCGGTTAATCATGAAAGCCTTCGCTAAGTTAAAGGTCTTTTGACCTACCCTCCACCGGGAAAGATCGAAAGCCCTTTCAAAATCAGTTGCCAATACGGTAACATGATTTTTGGTTGAAAGGGCATCCGATGCGTAATGGATGCAGAAGGGAATCAAGAGTGCTATGCTGTTGTTTAAAAGCTGTTTGGTGGCGGCTGATAAGTTTTTGTTTAGTAATAAATCACATTAACCTTTTGGCTAACATTTTTTCTAGGGTCTTGCTTAAACATGGGAGTAAAGAAATGGGTCTAAATTATGTTATTTCGTGTGTTGGCTTGATAGGTTTTAAGATAGGAATAATTGTAGCAGATTTCCACACATGAGGGTAGGTACCCCTAGCGAGCATAGCGTTGAATATTTCTAATATGCGGTATTTAGCTTCGGTGGGT